AGAGTGATTTTGCTTTTTCAGGTCTTGAAGCTGACCCATTTGCCCCAGACCCTGACCATCCACCTCATGCGATTCTCCATCAGGAATTCACAGACGAGAAAGGTCTGCCACTCCCTGTACTTCCCCCAGAGCCTGGATTTCAGCCACGTGCTTCCAATGCAGGGAGAGATCCGTGACGCTGAGGAGCAGGTGGGATGTTCTGACTCTGCCATCCTGCCTCTCCCCAGATGCTGCGTTTTTCCTGTTTTCCCTTCCCTCATCCCCAGTCTGCCGGAAGCCACCCATTCCTCAGTGACTGCCCAGCCTGAAAGACTTTCTTCTTTCTAAATACTGGATTTGTGTTCATATGCCTCACAGCACTGAGGGACGGAATCCCGAATTCAGTCGGCTTCTTTGGAAATAACGTGGAATACATAGAAATGCATAGGCAAACATGTCACTGTGGGTTCTTAGTACCAACCAAACTTTCTTACTCAAATGGCTTGTGCCCACTTTGAGGATAATCACAAAGTAGCCAGGTGACTGGACCACACTTAATCAGAGTAAAGTTTAATTCACTTGTCCTGAGTCAATAACTTATTGAGAGATTCAGAGAAAAAAAAAAAAGTGTCACCAGGCCAGGCGATGTGGCACCTGGAAAGGCTGAGGCAGGAGGATCACTTGAGCCCAGGAGTTCGAGACCTGCCTGGGCAACATAGTGAGACTCCATCTCTAAAAAAAAAAAAAAAAAAAAAAAATTAGCTGGCTGGTAATCCTAGCACTTTGGGAGACTGAGGCAGATAGATCACAAGATCAGGAGTTCAGGACCAGACTGGTCAACATGGTGAAACTCCATCTCTACCAAAAAATACAAAAATTAGCTGGGCATCGTGGCTCATACCTGTAATCCCAGCTACTTGGGAGGCTGAAGTAAGAGAATTGCTTGAACTGGGACCTGGGAGGCAGAGGTTGCAGTGAGCCGAGATCGCACCACTGCACTCCAGCCTGGGCTACAGAACAAGACTCCATCTCAAAAAAAAAAAATTAGCTGGGTTTGGTAGCACACACCTGTAGTCCCAGCTACTTGGGAGGCCGAGGTGGGAGGATCACTTGAGCCCAGGAGTTTGAGGCTGCAGTGGGTGGCGACCTATCACTGTACTCCAGCCTGGGCGACAGCACAAAATCCTGTCACTGCAAACAAAACAAGAAAAAATACAAATATCTTTTCTCCATAGATTTGAAGTGCTACACAGCAGATTTTGTATCCCCAGACGTGCGGGTCTATTTTAGGAGGGTCTCCTCTGCTTTTTTGGTGTGTTTGGCTCTTTATGCTCTAGAACCAGGGCATTTAGAAAATGCTCCTCTTATAACATGGTGTCTTTATCCACTTAGGCCATATACATTTCACGGGATTCTCTTTTTCTTTCATTCTAGTTCTTTATATTTCTACCTGCACATTCTGCCTGATGAAGTATATTTAAAATTGTTTTTCTCTTTAAGAAGACTTTATTGGCTGGGTGCGGTGCGTCACGCCTGTAATCCCAGCTCTTTGCGAGGTCACGAGGCTTGCGTGTGTCCAGCAGTTTGAGCCCAGCTGGACAACAGAGCAAGACTCTGTCTTTGCAACAACAAAGGCTTTGTTATGGAACATTGCAAATATATACCAGAGTGTCTAGAGAAGAATTAGACAGTGCATCCCAGCTGTGACCATGACAAAACTCATGGCAGGTCTTGCTCTTCCTATAAACGACCCTCTTTCTTCATCCAACCCCGTACTGGATTTTTTGGAAGCAAATCCCAGACACCAACGCACTTTATTTGTAAACACTTCATTATGCGTCCCTTAAAAATAAACACTCAAAACATGATCAAGTCCATCTGGTAATCCCTTGATAGCATCAAATATCTGGTCAACGTGCAGATGTCCTGACTATTCTACAATCCATGTGGTTTGTTTGAATCTAGATCCAAACAATGCCTACACTTGCATTTGGTTAAGTTTCTTTCCTTTCTTGATTAAGTTTCCTTTAGATTTCTGTTGCTTTTCTTTTCCTTGCTGTTGACTTGGTTGAAGACTTTTTAAATATGCTAGAACTGCCCGGCTGGTGTCATTCAACGTGTTCCTCTAACCCTTTTATTTCTTGTAAACTAATATTCAGGTACAGATATTGCATTTTACAAAGTCCCGCACAAGGTCCGCACATGGAAACGGGATAACTGGAACCTGCACTGTGGGTGACTCAGCTTTGCGTGTGACGCCCTTGCCCTCTGTCTCCCCTCCCCCTACAAAGACTTTTTTGGCTATGTATGGTGGCTCAGGTTATGGACACTCCCGGGCTTGTGGAGAAACAGAACTGTGTTCTGATGACACCCACCCCTCCCCGGGGGTGGTTCTAATCTTGCCTGGCTTTGTGGGCTGTCTCATGACCTCCCGCCTTCTGTCTCTTGTGTGCTCTGCTCTGCCAAGCTGCTGAGCCTTTGCAGTTCAGGATCCGCACTCAGGAAAGCCCCTCCTGGAAGGTGCCCACCGTCCATGGGGCGGGACTGTTGTCTAGTATTCTGAAGTCCCGTAGACAGGCCTAGGGTGGGCAGGTATGAAGGTGTGGTGCCGTCGTGTTTGTGTGGTGGGTGAAGTGTCTCGTGCCCGTCTCTTTCCAGCCTGGAGGGCAGTATGAGCTCTTCGCTGTGGTTGCGCACGTGGGAATGGCGGACTCCGGTCATTACTGTGCCTACATCCGGAATGCTGTGGACGGAAAATGGTTCTGCTTCTGCTTCAATGACTCCAATATTTGCTCGGTGAGGAACGTCATCCACAATCGCCTCCTGCCCAGGATGGGCCACCTCTAACAAATGCTCGGCACTGGGCTGCGTGGATCTCTGAGATCAACATTGTGGACCCGCTGTCTGGGTGTAGGGCCTTTTATGAGGGTTCAAGACTTTTTCGGCCTGGAGTCCCCATGTGGTTTGCACCTCTGTTCACTTCCCTCCACTTCTAAGGTTTTGGTGCTCTAGGCTCGTGCCCTGCAGCTTCATGCTTTGTGGGAAATGTCTAGAGAGCAAGCAGAGTTAGAAA